GCCATGCAATAAGGAGTGAGGGCAGTGCATTTTTTAAACGGTGCAAGCGACTATCTAACTGGTCACAAAACGGGCACATTGGGGAGATATAAAACCTATACTTACAAATGATGTCATTCGTATATGCAGCTCCAGCGGAATGGACAAGCAAGATACTCTTTTCTTTAATGGCAAACTTTTGCATAGAACGTCGAAAACCCTTGAGGTCCAAATAGCCTGGCTGCCAATGCTTACGCATTGTGGAGAGACGTTCGCTAACTACCCTGGACCATTCGAGCTCTAAGATTTGTTTTAGCATTCTCTCGTTACACGTGAAGGGATTGAATGTACAGCCGCTTCTAAGAGTCAAAGTTCCATCTTGCTTAATTTAAGGATGAGTTTCCACTTTTTGAGGTTCTTAGACAAAGAAGCAGCGGGCCCTGGCCGTGCACCTGGTTTGTTGACCATGTTCAAAAACTGTTGTTTAGGGTAGCTAGGCATACAGAACAACCTTCTGAGTGTGCGAAGGGCATTTAATACAATGTTGAATTCAGGATCGAGGTTGTCTTTTCCGGTCAACATGAGGGAAAGATAAGGAGATTCACAGGTTCGACCTGCTCCTATTGCCTTTGCTGTTGCTGCACGAAGTGATCTTAATTCACATCCATTGGGAACAACCACCTGAGATGCGTAGGCAAGCGTTGCAAAAGCTGAGGCTCTGACTAGTCGTGGCTTGTGGATTTTGGCAACGCCACATTGACGAATTTTACGACGCTTTGCATGTGTCTTGAGGATTCTAGCCTTAAAGACTTTTTTCGAAACCTTTTTTGTATAGGTCATGTCAAAACCCAGCTCTCGTTCCTGGTGTTTTATAGGAACAGGTTGCCCTTGCAGCACAATTCCAACCAACTCCTTGCGTCCACTCTGTTCAGTGGACCAAAGCCAAGATTTGTCACCAGCAAGAGGAAGTTTAAAAAGGTCACAAAAATGCTCAAAGCAGGAAATGGCCTGTTTTATGGTCCTGTAGAACCATTCAACAAGCTCCAATTATCAGCAAAAGCATACACGATGGTGTCAGGGCAAGTCGGGCGCATGTAATGATACATGCTCAATGTTACGAAAAGCATAGCGACAACGGCCAGAGGGCACCCCTCAGGGACGCCAGTATGACTGGTCTGACAGTCGCTCACCAAGCCATCGAAAACAAAAACGCGTTCGAAGTTCATTAGATTCGAATAAGGACTGACAATATATATTCATGTATACCAAACTTTCGAAGAGCCGCCAAGATCAGGCCCCGATGAATGCTATTAAAGCACTTACGAATATCCACAACAAGGCCGTGCAATGGCTCTTCTGTGGTGGCCTGTTCAATGAGAAAAGAGACATGCGTCATCAAAACAGTAGGGTCAATTCCCCGAACACCACCGCCAATCAATGGAGCAGCGAAAACGAGATGCCCATCTCAAGATTTGCAGCGTATGGGTCCGTGCCCACGTGCGATAGACACGAGAAAGAATTGTAATAGGCCTCAATCCTGATGGGGATGTGGAGTCCGCATCAGGTTTAGGCAATAATACAACAAAAGCTTGGCACCACTGTTTCGGCCATGGCTGACCAAGTTCTATCTGGCGCAGGATAGTACACAAGAGTTCTAAGTACTCGGCTGGTAGCGCTAACAGCTCACACACACTGAATTTACAGGAGCCACGCATGCTGCGTTTTTTGGTGCCTAGCAGTGCTTTACGAAAATCGTATGCTTGGATTTGTGTTCCTGGAAACTCTTCCCACGTGGGGAGTGCTTGGACAATAACTTGTGCATCTTGTAAGATCTGCTCATTATCTTCATGCTGGTCACGTTTCCAGTATGTGTTCCAAAAATCCCAACATTGTTGCGCGCGATTCGCATCGTCAAGAACTACATGAACTTGAAAAAGGGTCAAAACACTGGCTTTGAAAAACAGTGGGGAATCAAGAGTAACAACGTTGTCTTGGATTTTGCTTATGTGAATGGTTTGTTGTGCGTAATGGATAGGCAAATCATCTCTTAAACCTGCGGCGTCGCGTAATTTGATGACTCTGTGTCCTTCCAAAGAACAACGAACATCTCAAACGACAACTTCTGGTGAAAGACAGGTGGAAGCGAACCGGTGTCTTCTTTTAGGGATTGAAAAACAAGGCGTCCACCTCTTTTTAAATCACCATCCATGGTTTCTCTTTGCTTTCTGCGCAACTTAGCCATGTGCTGCCTTTCAAGATTGTCAAAAAATTCACGCGTCCAATGTAAGGCGTCATTGACAAAATCGGCATTGGGCAAGTCCACAGGCACATATAACGCACCCTGTTCGAACAAGAAGGTTTGAAAAGACTGAGGGAAACCAGTAGATTGCATACTTGCTTTCCAAAGAGATGTTATTTCACGCATTAAACAACTACGTCGTTGTATGCTCAAGTCTTGTTGGAGTTTTCTTGTCAAGTGGAAAAGGCTAGTCAGGCGTCTCACTTGCCTAAGAAGTTGTCTTAGTTGGACGTGCTGCAATTGCCTTTAGGCTGAAAATCGCCCTGTCGACCAGGTTTACAAAAAGGGACCGACATGGTTGAGGTCTTAGTGTGCCTGCGCGAACCCCTTCCTAGAAAAGCCTTACCCTTACAAGACAGCAACCCGGTTGCGTCAACCGCGGTGCTTTGAAAAAGCTGTTCACAAGCCTGAGACCAGCTTTTGACAGCGAGGTCCAGGTTTTCACTTTCGATCGAATTATAAATTTCCTGTTTTCTTTGGTCAAGTATACCTTCCTGGCACGAAGCGATCAGATCGGAGTCGAAAAAAGCATCGTCAAAGGACTTGGGGTAAAACAGTTGGGTTGTTTGTAGACTTCCAGGACTGATCCTAAGAAGCTTTCAAGACCGGATGGTCACTGAAATAGAAATCCTCCAAGCAGACACACCACTCCAAAAAGGGCCTTAAATGTCGGGAAACTAAGAGGTACATGAATCTCGTGGCATCCCTACATGTTGGTTGGGGTACAAAGCCATTCATGGTAGCAAATTCAAACGCGGCACCCCAAAAGCCATCGTTTTGGAGTTTTGTCCAGGCCTGCAATGAAGTGACATCACAATTAATGTCACCAGCAATTATTGTGGGCCCTTTAAACTTTCTGGCGTCCGAATAGGCTTGATCAAGCAATGTTTCCATAAAATTGTGCGGATAGAGAAAGCTGTTGGGAACGGGCCCATAAAGAACAATGACCTGAATGACCAAGTTAGGGTTGATAACGGTAAAACACACGACATACCGAGTGGATTCATACAAATTGAGTTCATCACGATTCACCCCGTGCCAAGATTTGGTGGGCGCCAAGAAACCAACCCCTCCAGCGCGTCCCCTGAGCTCAGAGATGCCGTTTGAATGGGGTTGAACAGGCTTCCCAAAAATTGATGACTAATGGATTTTCTGAAATTGGCGCCTACAAATGGCTTGGACCCTCTGTGTTGCACTTGTCTCAGAGAGGGCCCAAATACCACCGCCAAGTGAATGGAAGAGATCGACTTTGTTCAAAATGGATGTTGGGTTGATTACACCCACTGAGAAGGTGTTGCTAGGTCCTGGGTGCCTAGCTTCACCAAACCTCTGTGACGCAAAAGTTACCAAAGAGAAAATGTGTCTCAGTGTCAAGACACAACAAACAGATAGTACTGCTGGTTGAGAAAGGTCAACCAAAACCTCAATTGTTTGAAGCCTCTGCAAGCTTGGAAGCATCGAAACTCCCTCTGGCTGAAATTCAACGCAATCACGAATGATTGCAAACAACCCCGAGCTGCGAGCGTAACGCATTTTCCTTTCAGCGGCCAAATCAAAAGCAATCCACCACAGGAGTTGCACAATGGCCCAGAAGTGACGAACACCTTTGAAGATTGAGTCCTTCGGCACTGTGACATCACGAACGTACTTTCGCCACACGGCGTGTCACAGACTAAAAGCAAACATCTCACATAATACCACCATTTATCCCGCTGACCAGCGGCACGCCGCGTTTGCACCTGCATGCTTCGCGGCTTCCCATACTACATTTGCACTACAAACAGGCCACTTCTGAGTCCAGCTCCGATTCTTTCCCGCACTACATTTGCACTACAAACTGGACTTTTGAGTCCAACTCCGATTCTTTCCCGCACTACATTTGCACTACAAACTGGCCACGTGTGAGTCCAGCTCCACAAGTGAAGCGCCAAGTCTCCAAAATGAGCGTTTCGTACGAGACTTCCTCCAAAAGTACAGCGTCAAGTCTCCAAAACGAGCGTTTCGTACGAGACACCACACGTTTCGTGAGCTCCGGCCGGACCTGCCCGCCGCCTTCAGAAGTCGAATCGAAGTGTTAGAAGTGTTTTTTCGTTGGTGAGATTTAGTAGGTGATGGTGAAGTAGATTCTTAGATCTGAGTATATATGCTTCCAAATGTGAGCAATG